GACCAGAACTAGTGCTTGTTGTTCTTCTGCCATGCAGGTTGTTGATTATTCGGCCAACGTTTACAAACAAGTCGTCGCCTTCAGGACCTCAGCAGCCACCAGCGCCACCAGTCCACTCTTTTCCTTGAACAGCTGCGGAGAAATGAGACCTTTTCCATTTTCCAGAAAAAGGTCTCATTTCTCCGCGGCTGTTCAAGGAATTGAGTGGATTCGTGGCGCTGGTGGAACTGCTGAGGTCCTGAAGACGAACGAGTTGTTCGAAACGTCGACCGAATAAACAACAACCTGCATGGCAGAAGAACAGAAGAATTTATATCCAAAATATTTCCAACATGCCCACGTTCCAAGAAGACCGAACATGGAATCTATCAGGACTAGTATTAGGCGTAAAAGAGCACTTGATCAATGAACGGAGCAGAATTGTACTCGCACCCCTTGGGAAAACCGATATTTACGGTAATACAGGGGGGCCAAAAAAAGAGTCACTTTGCCCATGGCGCATATCATCAAACTTTTCGTCGCAAAGGATGCCGCTGTTATTGGGAGTTATACGGCGAAATATTCCTTAGATGTCCCCCCATAAGCAGAATCAGGCCCACCTTCGCTGCTTCACCGTCTCCAGAATATGACGTCATCTGTCATCACCGTCGAGCTCAAGGAGGATAATCGCTCCATTCTGAAGCTGCTACATAATTTCTTCAATCGGATAACTGGTGAATGGCTTCTTAGGACACTAGCTCTGACTATGCAAATGGCTTTTGACCAGCGTTTCAGAGACGTCGTAATCGTCTATGGTTTCTCGACGACCTCGTTGAGCTCGTACCGTGAACCATGTTTCCGTGGGAAAATCTTCTGATGTCGTCGGTGTAGAAGGCCCTATGTAATTTTTTTGATAGATAGAATGTGCTCTTCAATATGCAATTGAGCTCATTCGGTTTGGTTTTGGCAAAGTGTAATTAATTCTGTTTTGAATGTGGATGAGAGTGACTTTTTTTGCCCCCCCCCTGTACATCCTGCTAGAAGGAAGACGGCGTAAATCATAAAACAGCGATTACACTAGCAATTGTCCCTTTGAAAAATATTAATGATCCCTTGAACTTGGAGCTAATGGCTGCACCCAGAGGCCTTTCTAGACAGGCTTCTCGCCTTTGACACCTGCGACGATAGATGTCGTGCGTGTTGGATAGCCGATCTTGCTGTTAGAGATAATGAGCCCTGCGCGATATTCAACGAGGAATTTGCTGGCCAACCTCGTCCGCTGCATCTCTTTATTTTATCTGTTCTAATATGGTTCATATCACCTATTTCCGTCGAATTACTTTTATCTCGGTGCTTTCAGTTCCACTACCTCTACTTCGTATCGTTTGTGGTTGTTGTTACAGGTTCAATAATCTACTCGATTAGGGAAACACAGGTAATTCAATGCATTACAGCATGTAGTTTAAAGGACGAATTCACGATGAAAAAGCAACCCATTTCAAATTAACCTAGGGATGGTGAGTGGTACACGAAAGAAGGAAGAACCATGAGAAACGGCCCAGAACCCGAGAAATGGTACCCCTTCCTTGCCCGTTGATTCGAGCATTGATGCGACTATCATCGCTGTGCCCTCTTCAACGCTACGCTCTCTCAGCTATCTAATCACTCCCACGTATAGATCTGCGGCGAGTGATCAGCTGATCGGTGGGCGGAGATCGCCGAACTCGCCAGCTTTGAGGCATGATAGGTCGCCGAGGTCAAATTTTTCCATGCGAATTGCGCGTCAGTTCGCACCCCTCAGGAGGTCCGTGGGTCCCTCAACTAGGTCAGTTTCCCTTTCTTCGACCTTCATTCTAATCGTGAATTCCTCCTTTCCTTTAAGTTGATTTGCATCTTGGACTGATTGAGCTACGGTCGAGGGTTCTTCTACAGGAGGTGGCATTCTCCTTGGTGAGAGGGGAGGGGGCTGATATTTCAGAACTAAGTGGGTTGGTTCCAGCGGTTACATTTGCCTTCGCCTAATGCCAGTTCAAGAGGGGGAGGGGGGGAATACTCATAAGTACTATGTTTTAATCGACACTTTTGCCATCATGGGTCCATTGGCCAACTAAGTGCGGAAAATGAAGAGAAACTGGGAGGGTGAGTGAGTGGGGTAGCGTCTGGCCATGCTTTTTCGACAGTTGCTCCCATGATCATAGGCTTTCGAAATAGTGATGTCTCCTCCTCTGACAGAACCTTTGTCCAATCACCTCATTATTTCGTGAATGTTTCAACCAAGGGTTCATTCTAAGGTTCAGTTTGTCCGATGGTTTGTTTTCTTCCTTTTTCAACATTTTGGTGTTTGTGGCTAAATTCCCCCAGGTCAAGGAAGCATTGTTCATTTCTTTCACACTTCGCTTCATTCCCCTGCCAAGAGCTATTCATGAGAGTCAAATACGACGTGAAGTGCGACGACTACAACGGAATGCTAAACTACTCTTTGATCCCACCCCCTGAATAAAATTTTGGCAAAAGTACATAAACAATATTGAGATCCAAAAACAACTTTTGGTTTTACAAACTGAATGACTCAATTATATACAAAATCAGTAATTTCATTTTACGTAACCCCTGAAAGTCTTCCATTTCAGATACGCGATCCGAACGAACCTCGTCGTGTATGTCCATGTCTGTTCATATGCTGTTGCTGTTGTGATTGTTGTTTCGAAGAAGTGGAAAGCACTGAAGGATCGCTCGACGTATGATTTCTCTTTATTGGTCATTGATTTTTGACTCGGCTGCTTCAAATTAGCAGAAACTAGTCACAATAAGCTGGATATACAACATACATATACATACATATACATATACACATAAAGTTCCATCACTCAACTCACTTATTGCTAGACGCTCTAGTAAAGAAGCAGGGTTTCCGAAAGGAATCGCAATACATAGATGCCTTCTCTTGTGGTGATCTTAGTTCTTCACAACAGCGATAGGAAGAAAAGGGGTCTTATTTGTGCACATTGGACAAGGCACAGGTTGCAGTAGTTAAGTCGATATCAAGTTTATTGATTCCAACTCAATCACGAATGGCTGGGAATTCATCGCACTAACCATAAGTCCAGAAAATCACCTTGATGGCGGCTGGTGCCCTCTGCTCCGATTCTATTGCTCCTTCTATGGGCACAAACAAGCAGCCTCACACCTCCATCAGCTCAGTGTGAGCTTTCTTTCCATCGAGAATTTTTCGATAGAAGGACTATTATTGGGTCATCTTGAGTCTGGGGGGTGGAGAGCGATGAGAATCAGGTTTAACTTGCACAAGGCACAGTAGTTAAGCTTTCGAAAGAGCCAGTAAGTCTCTTTTGGGAACTGAGCTTCTTTGAAAAGACTCATCAGATTTTCTGAGGAATTCACAAAGTTTTCCCTAAATTCTTTGTATTGGTCATTTCAATGTACTACATTCCCTGCCCCAGTTGAGAGGGACCTTTCCTAAAAAGTTCAGGTGAAGCTTCAAGTAGGAAGGAGGGGGATTCGAATGAGAACTGGTAAAGCCTCAAGCAGGACTGAAGGGAATATTAATGGTACTTATGGTTAGAGCCTGATTTGATCATGCCTTAGCAAAAAATAGTTCCATTTAATTCCTTTCGAAGCCTGGCTCATCCTGATCAGATGATATCCTTTCAGACATCATGTCATACCATCCGCCATTGAATACAGCCCATGTCCAAGAAATAGGGTAGGCGTGTTTATAGACATGATTGCGAACTACACAAACTTGGTAGTTGTCGTACATAAATTCGCGAAAAATCGTTCAAATTTCATGCACAGCAGCACTATTTTTTTTACTGAATCTAACTTCCTCTGAAGCAAAGCAAAATAACACTACAGAATAGCAGAATGCAGCAGAAGACCCAAATAAGGGAAGAAAATAACGAATACAGCTAATCGGCTGATCACCGCGACAAGTATCAACCTTATGTGTACAATCACTTCTGTGAGACGCTACCCTATCTCTCGGGATTGACTGAGGAAATACACTATCATTTCGCATACCAAAAAAAATAATCAAAGCAATACTCATAGTCAATAATGTACACAATATAGCATTTTGACGCAATCCTCCATGTACTGCACTTTTGCTGCACTGTTCTGCATTTTCAGGTCTCGCCTACGCCCGTCGTTGAACCACAAACTTCGATTGCTATGTACGCTGGCCAGACGGACCCTCGTGATTGTCCTATTCATGGTCGACGGGCTTTGTCCACGTTGAGCAACGGCACACGTTTTACGGAAAGCCGCCATTAATAAGCAACCAGTCGGAAGCGGGGGTTGCAGCGATCTGGGATCTGGGATTATGTAGTTTGTGGAGGTCAAGCTTGAGAAACAAGGGAAGACTGGCATGCCAAGAAACGGGCGAATTCAAGACGATATCAGAGGATCAGCAAACCGTTCATCGACTGGACTGGGTACGACCCCTGGTCTTGGTGCTCATGAAAATGGGATGTAGTATGTCTAACAAGGGGTCTCCATAGTTGTGACTAGCTTGCCTCTATCGTTTTGCCTAGATTTCATCCAAATTTCATGAGAAGTTGAAAGCCTTTCCTGGTAACAGTACAATAATTCTCAAAGCACGAACCTAAATTCTAATTCGTGAAACCCCATTGGTTGGGTGATGGCTTCCAGCGGGCACTACACCAACCGTCGCCAAGCTTTCCTGGCCAATCTGTGCCAGATATGGCCCACGTCAGTCATAACTGGAAACCGAGTGAACCTATTCTTTCTCGCCCAAACCCTTGAGAGTGCCATAAAGTCTGTTTCAGTTGCCTCAATACGATCTCCTTTCATCGCCGGTGTATATATAGTAATCCGTGGAAATGTTCAATTTTTTTAATAGAATTTATTGTTGATTTCACTTAACCCAAGAATTATGTGTGCTACAGAAGGAAGTTTTACCCAGTAAAGCTCTATCGAAAAATATTTTCATACCCATTGTCTTTGTTACTGCTCAGTTTTCACTTAATTGTTCAAGGTTGTTTTGAGATATTTCACCGTAAAGTAAATTTGTAAGTGAATAAAAAATTTTTTGAATTTTATAGGCGTCAACGCATCCAAAACACTATGCGGTCGCCCTAGACACTCTTTCCAACACATTCCCTTCTATCTTCATGTAAAAGCAACGCGATCGAGGGCAGTAACCACGCCAAAACAGTGACGGCGGGCAATAAAAAGCTCTTTTCTTCTCGCTTCGTAAACTTGGTGTCTGCGCTCGAATGCCTCACCTCTGCGTTCCCGAAAATTCCGAGGTATCGTCAGTTATGTGTTCTATCTATCTATGACGAGGTTTCTAAGTTTCAAGTGGCTGGCACAGGTGATCGAACCATCGATGGCTGAGAAATGATTCAAATAAATAAAGCGTGAATCCTGCAGGAGAAAAATGTCTCCACAGCAAGGGACTAATCATGTTGTGGTGAAATTGTTATGGCTATCAGCAGAGCTATGATTAATATTCCCGGGACAGACAAAGCTACCATATAGGTAGAAGATGTGCCGCTCTCGCGCTAGAAATGTGCAACAGGGGCTTTAGCGTGTTCCGCAGGTGCTGCAGCTCCCAAATACAAGGCAATCTTCAAGATGTCTGCGTCTCGCTTGAATTCATGTTCCTTCGCCCGTTCACCCTCCACGGTTGCCGTGTCCGCTTCGTCTTAGCACTTTACCTCCACATCGAAAGCATTCATTTCGAATCTCCTTCTCAGTTTTTTTTGCATTTCGGTTTCACATTGCTCTCTACTTTCATTATTTATCAGGTGCAACGTTTTTGATTTATTAAATTCAACAGAAGTGTATATAAAAATGAAACTCTTCCAAAAGCTTTATTTGATATTCCGGGCCGTAAGCATTAAAACATTTCGTCGTATGATTGACAACGTCTCAGAGCTTCGTTCGACAAAATTGAACAGTCAGTGTGGAACAGTGTATGCATCATAGAGAGAAATGTGATACACTTCGCACTGAACCACGGATTCGCCTGGAGAATAAATTCGAACATCTTCGCTATTTAAGGTCATTTCGCGTTTCATAATGAAATACCTCCGAAGAGATGCGAGGTTCCTTGATGGTGATCAGATTGATGAGAACATCCTCAGTCTGTTGAACCTTGCTCCAAGTTTCGCACCGAAACCAAGGTTTACTGGGGAGACCAGGACGGATATTATGGCAGCAATTTAAAAGTTTTTCCCACAGCTGGAAGTGATACAAACTGAGCACGGTGCCCTTCACTCGAAGAAACCATAACAAAGCTTGTAATCCATTCCACTACCGCACGTCGAGTTGCTGCTCCGTCGTACAACCCCTACATTCTTCGAGTTCGAGGAACTTCCAACTGTACCTTACTACAGTATTGACCATCCAATAAACCACTCAGAAACGCCAGATAACATGGGCAAGATCAAACGATGTGCTCTGCGAAAAGCCTTAACGCTGAAGTGTTCACCGAGATTTCCGGTCGGCGACAAATGTGGAGGTTTTGTGCTTATGTCACAAGAACGAGATATTGCTCTCACTGAAGCAGTTTGTCTGACTCCTCAACGTACAACATACTACAATGAGCCGTTACAGACAGGAGTGCAGTAAACTAGAAGAGTTGATAAGAAGAGTTCGCGTTAGAGAAGCTGGAAACAACAACTTTGACACGACTCCTTCCCAAATACGCGTGCATTCGATTATAACTCGTGAAGACCGCACAAGTTGGCAGCTTCTGAAGGACGTGTCAAGAGCGAAAAGCAGCGCCATCAAGACCAGGCCGATAGTTTCGTCATGCGGAGGCCCAACGGATGCGATAAATTGGTTCCCTCAGCATGTATTATCACCATTACTCAAATACATACCAGCTCATTTGCCAGAAATCACGCTGACTACCGAGTATCTTGAACAAGACGGTTTTCTGCCATTCTTAAACACCAAACTGTCGGAAGGCCAAGTGCTTTCTATGTGGCACAAGAAGACCGCTTCGAAGAACATCCTAATACACTCGAGAAGCTGCCACCCCCTTTTCATGAAGAGGAATGTAGTTCAGAATACCTTGGCAACAGTTCGCAGAATGACGTCGAAGATGTTCCCGAAGCTTATGAACAGGGTGACACGTATTCTATTCGAAAACGGATACTGACGTGTGAATTGTTGGCGCCCGTTCAGAGCGCTTGAAGGCACCTCACCGATCCTTTGCTAAGGATGTAAACCGTGTGATCAAGAGGTCCGGGATGCCAATTCCCTTGATATTCCGACCGCCGCCGTCTGCTTACTTCGTCTCGACTGTATGAAAATCAGTGTGGCCGCATAAACTGCACATACTGTCATCCGGAGCGGAAAATATGCCTTCTAAAGAACACGTTTACGAAGTAGAGTGTGCGTCATGCTCAGAGTTTTACGTTGGAGAAAGTGGATGCCCACTTTCTCCAGTGGATAAAGGAAAAGTGGAGTAAAGGCTTGACGAACATCTAAGGGCTCTCCGGAATCCAAGTAGCTATCCGGACAACCCTTTCTCGAAACACCGTTCCTTGCGCCACACGCGTGAACGTGCACCCGAAATCAAGGTCCGCGTGATATATAAGAATGTGAGTGATCCGGTGGAAAGGAAAATAAAAGAGGCGCTTGAAATACGAAGGAGGAATCCTCCAATCAGAACTCCGAATACCATGGAAATCATCGCTGTGCAATGACTTTTTGAGATGGAGCTACGTGACGGATGGTAAATGAAGAGTATCGACTGCTTAACATCTTTACCATGATCACCCTCTATCTGGCTGCTCTATTTTTCCCGTCTGAGTAGCAGGAGAGGTTGGTCCCCCTTCACGTTTCCTTCCACATCTCTATCCCATCATTCTTACAGCGATTCACGAACTCAGCGGAGTCGATCCGCTTCCCTCAACCCGGATTCCCTTTTGTACTTGGTTAGTTGACTTCGTATATCATGTTGTATATGATTACCTCTTTTATGTGAGTACGTTATGTATGGATGATGTTATAGACCTGAAGAAGGGCTTACGGCCCGAAACGTCGTCAAATAAAGCCTTTTGGAAGAGTTTCATTCAATCAACAACAAAGAAAGTCTCGTGAAACAATGAAGCTCAGAAACCTCTGATCTTGTTTGATAGTGTATGTTTTGACCGTGGAAGATCATTCGAGCAACGTGGAGTTCTAGTTTTTTCATTTCACGTAGAGGGGGGGGGGCTCGGCACAAAGGTTGATAATCCTACAAAATAAATCTCTTAGAAAAATGGAAACAAGACAAGAGACAAACTAATCGAACGGCTTGAAGTCACATTTTTCGGTAAAGAACGCAGCAACTGTGGAAATCCAAGTTGCCATTTTGCATATGAAATGCTGAGGAAAAAATTGACGCTGTTGGAACACTCCAAATAAGATATTCTTCCTGAAGCTGCTGTTTTAGTAAGAGCCGACGGCAAAGAAAGATCATATGCATTAGGATAATCAAGGACGAAAAAGGCAAGAAATGAGAGAGGCGAGTGAGGCACAAACACCTCGTCATACAGGCTCCACGACTCCCAAATTATCTTAGCTTAAGGTAACACACTGACTGAACACAGTGGCCGTATATTGCGAGGATTAACCAAATGGGTGCAGCTTTCAGTAGCACAATTATTAATCTAGCTATTGTTAGAGAGATAAAAACCTGCTTAGCAACGTTTCAGTTAGTCTGAAAATTTTTGGAGCCAAGCCACAAAATAGCTCAAACAGTCTAATTCCTCTAAGTACTACTGCTTCCGAAATAATTAATTCGATTATTGGGGTCACGTGGCAGAGAAATGATACATAATATTCCCTTAACTCCTGCTCTAACCATAAGTTGCTGGCTTCGAATTCTTAAAAGCTAAAATTGTTCAGCATCGTGCAGCGGAAAGCCTTCATATTCACGTCGTCTTCCGTCATTCCCGTTTAAGGCAGTGATTACGATAGATTCCAGTGGACTTCAATGGAGAAGTGGGGGTTACTCGCTGGTGCGCCCATTGACGAGAAAAACAATAATCAAGAATACGCTAAGTTGTACTCCCTTAATGCCCATTCATTTTCGATCATGCGGCGACAAAGAAAGAAGTTGTTCGGACGTGTTAACCCCGATAGCCGCCAACAAGCATAGTGTTTTGATTGATAAGGCATTACATGGGCAAGTTGGAAGATACAGCCGCTAAAAGGGAAATGATCTTCCAAAATGAAAAGCCAACAGCAAACAGCTCGCCCAAGTCACCAACTGAACTAGTGGGCGTAACGCTTTCGGGGCGGAGTGCTTC